GTCACTCTTCTGCTAACCAACGCTCGGATATGTCCGCACAGGAATTAATCGGAACGTGAAAGCGCTATATTCTCTCTCGTTCTAGTATCCTGCCGTATCCGAGTGCTAGGGTACCTAGCACGAAGTACCAACTATCGTGGTATCGTTATTACTATCATTATCGTTATCATTATTATTATTAAGGGCTTTGATTCACTCAATTGCGAGTGATATTCTGTCTGTGGATGGGATCTTATGATGGGGTGGGTGATTAGTATGTGCTTGGAGGGATTTTCGGATAGTTACGGGAACTAATGCAAACTAATGCACGACTTTGGCGGCAACCTGGGGCGCTTGGGTTGGATAGTTGTGGAACAAAGTAGATTCTCGCTGGCGGTTTTAGTCGTTTAATGACCTGTCTCTTCCAGGTAGTGTTCATCCTTTTTATCTACTTACAATTACTTGAATAGGGAGGATTTCATACTTGTTTGGCCAGCGTGAGGACTGCCTAAGATGTCTGATCATGGTGGGGTCGATTCAATCGACCTAGCAAGAAAGAGCCCACTAGCGAAGTTGGGGAGTTTAGTAAGGGTTAAACAAAACCAAAGCGTAATAGCTACCTATCCCTGTAATTATGCTCTGTCAAATAAAAATTCCAGGCCTGTCACTTCCCCGTATCTGTAGTAGCCCGTCATACCATCCCTAAAGTCGATACCCGATCAGCCGAGCAGACCCCACCTCACAAAAAATAGAGGATTTATGCAGTCTGACATAATTGGGGGTTATCAATAGGTTATCGCTCGCGTCAAGAGCCATGAAAGTCTCGACAATTTTTGGGCTTCTTGAGCTCGGTCCTTTCAAGAGGTCACGAAAGAACCAATTCTCAAATCTCCTCTTGCTGAAGTCATACCCTCATGAAGGCATAAATCTATAGTGGAAGCTGGCATTTAGGCCCTCAATTCCAGGTCAGGTTTCACTGTTTTTACACCGTAACCAGGCTGGATCAAGGAAACAGGTCGCCAACTCTTGCCATTAACTTATGTTAACACCCTCTAGGGCTCTCGCAAGCCCTCTATTACGAACCAGTGATCCATCAACACTTTTAACAAGCCTGACCGCACCCCTGTGGGAGCTTGAAATGCTGTGGAACGTGTCGGTTCTGCCAGTAATTTATTTCTCAAGATATTTCCTGGATATCCCCCCTTCTGGATGTAGCTATATATAGCTGCATCTAGTTGGTAACTAATGCTTGCATGTCGATGACTTCGGGCACGGTGCACTTCGTATTCATTCTCCCATTTCGGCATTCGCTGTGTTGATCCGCAGGGATTTTCAGCCTTCGAGAAAGTGTCGACGATGATACCGTGCTTGTACTGGTACTTGTGCCTCGTAGTAAAGTACGAGTACTACAATTGAAGAGACCCCAACTTGCCCTTGGTTGGTCCGGGATATGTTTTAGGGATGGTATTGTATCGTGACCGGAAAGTACGGATAGCAGGGACGCTGGCAGGGCGGGCTATGTGCTCACTTCACAGCGGTACTAGGGCGGTGAGAACCCGCTCAAGACAGTCGCTCGCGATGCATCAGTCAGGCGTCAGCATTCACGATCTGGTTCATTCGCTCAGTGTCGTTCAACTGGAACCCAATCGAGGCGTAATATCCCTCGAGTCGATTCGGAACACAAAAATTTGAATCGGAGCCTGAACTACTTGTCGGTGGTATCACACAGTTCTATTTCGGTTTCACCTGTTTCCTCGACAGGAGAGACCTCATGACTCGCTGGAACTATATTGCCACGTTGTGAGTTTTTCCCACCTCTAGTGATCTTCCTTTGGGCGAAATGGGATTGATCCGGCCGATGGGGACATATCATGGCATACCGGAAAAGCGCATTAATAATGGCTCAATCGGAAATATCTAAAAATGTGAACTTATATTAGATATTTCTTTTTCCTCCGAAATTTTCGTCCATGATTTATTCACTTGAATTCAAATATCGTCACCCACTGCGTAGGTAGGGTAGGCGTTTTTAAAGCTAGGTTAACGTTGGAACCAGAATAATTGAAGTTCACGCTAGGACGTTGGGGTAGCCTTTCCCAATCAGCTCTGCTATCTCTTTTTGCTTGTCTCAGTGGAGGGCTGAAAGCCAATTTTTTTTCCGGGGTAATTCCCCCATTTGTCCAGAGAGGGGATTTTGGATGCCTCATCGTGAGGTTCGATCATTCCAGCTCTTACTGTATGGTACAAGGGTAGAGCATGAATTCATGGTACATCCTCGATCACTCCTACAACCCCAGCGATTGAAATCTCACCTCCTTGTGACGTGTCATATCTTTCCCGTGGGCGAATCAGGGTCCTTGATTCTTATCTCACGATGGCTTCAAGTCTTCTTTACCATCACGATGGTTTAGAAATCTTTGGTGTTCAAGGTATCTCGCATCCCTTTTCATCAATATTAATCGTCTTCCATCTAGGGATATCGTTTACGAACGTTGTCACGACTTTTTGTCACCTTCGGATTCGGTTACGGGGCCTATTTTACTATGGTAATTCTGGCAGGCGTGTAGGACGCGGGTGAGGGGGTGGCTGAAGCTTTGCGGCTGAGGCGGCGCATGTGGTTGTGGCGCACGGGGGGTACGGGGTTAGGGTTGGGAGTGTGGCTTGGTTTGGGTTGAGGCGTTGGATCAGGAGTGGCGAAGGTTTTGGGGCGTTGGAGGAAGGAGTGGCGTTGGTTTGGGAGTGGCGAGTGTTAGTGTCAGGGGTGGGGGGGGTCGCCCATTGCAAGCGGCCCAACTCATGGCGTTGATGCTTGGTCGGGTGGGATAGGAGTTTTGGGAACGGACTGGGAGGGTCGTTGGGATGAAGTCGCACCCATACCGGGGAGATCTATCTAACCGCGCCGCTAGAATGGCAGGGGATTGGATCCGGTTGTTGGTTAGGCGGTGGATTTTACTTCGACCAAACACTATCATTTATTTCCTATGTGCTCATGATATTTAGGTTTAGAGTCTCCGGGATGGTCTATGGAATACCATATCTATATCATAGTCCATGGCGCGGATGAGACGATAGTCGTTGGAAGGGGAGGGGGTGGAGGTGGCCTAAATTCGCGGCCGTAAAATAACCTAGGGGAGGCTCAGAGCGGAGAGTGGTAGAGGCGGAGGGTGTTCATTTCTTTGGGGGTTACGTTTTCATAAGGGTTAGCAAAAGGGCTGGAAAGTGGTCAGAGGGGCTGATTCCGAAAAGACGTCGGCGATACCAAGCTTGCGGTTGGGTTAAGTAGGTTTCAGTTCTGGGTATTGTACCGCAGATGGAGGTTCTTACCTGTTGATTGGACGGGCATAGGTTGGAGTGGGTTGGGTTCAAACCCCGCGATTGCAATTCCTAGTAGGGATACCGTAGACATCCTAAAGGATACAGAAAACGGTTTAGAATAGTTCGATAGTATGGTAGTATCGGAATATACAAAAAGTTTACAAAAAAAAAAAAAAAAAAAAAAAATTCATGGTACAGCGCAGGGGTGGTCATTCTCCATTGTAAAGGGCAACTTTGGTACACTAGGAGAAGTGTGTGTTTGAGTGCACTCAAGGAATTTTACACTAATTTCACACTCTTATTTCAGCACCAAAATTGGAATTAAAAATAGGAAAACTTCATAGGATGTTCAGAAAAGATGCAGACTATTTTAATTCTATTAAAACTATAAATGACATAAAATCTCTGTGAAGCAGTAGCAATAAAACTTTCCTCAGAATTGTGCCAAGACCTTTGCTTTTGGTGGGAAACTCTGTCTTGGCAGAATTTCAAAGTTCAACTGCATACTACTCATGAGAAGTTGGGAATAGAGTAGATATTTTGAGATAGAAATAGTTTCCTCACCATTGTTAGTGGTTCTATGAAAAGTTTGGATTTTTGTGAATTTTCTCTCATGTAATATCTTGGATTCAAGACCTCTATTTTGGACAAAATTATGGTACAGCTGTGGAAGCGCTGTACCACTGCTCTCTCACATCTGATCCCTGCTCTGTACCATGAATTCATGAGCTACCCTTGTACCTCCGATCTATGAGTGATCCAGTGACCGCGTACAGAGGGGTTCACTAAGATTCGGAAACTAAGCGCGGTGGAACAGGGCCAAGATATTGGACGATCACAATATCTGGAAAGAATGCTGGGTTATACGACAGCTTAAAACAACACTTGTTGCACTAAGTGATTAGTGATAGTCGAGCTTGAATAGTTACCCTTGCACGGTACTGTGATCCAGGCAATAGTGCTGGAGTTTGGCAGTATGAAATACAAGTTGTGTTCACAAAGGTCATTCAATTATGAGATTTTATCATCATAGGTTTTATTGTTGCCTTTTTCTCTCATCATACTGGTTTATTGATCGTGAATCCGGCTGCCACTTTCCAATTTTTCGGAGTTCTTATTACTCAGAGATTTCAACCGGGATCTCATCTTTCCGGTGATCGGCGAACCCCTCTGTACTCGAGTACTCGAGTACAGCAGAAAGATCCGTCAACCTTCTGCTGTTGCTGGTATCTGCCCTCAGGTAGTGCAGCAACGCTGATATATTTGCTTTTCAGGTATCCTTATCTGGTGCGAGTGGGTTCCTAGCGGATAGGCGATTACCCTTCGGTGCTTCACCTAAGAGGAAAGGACATGGTAAAGCCTCAGCGTACTGGATTGTGTGGAATTTCATTAACTCGTATTAACGGCTCTGGTAACATGTCAAACTAAATTTATTGTCAGCGTCTGTCAGTGTCAGTCCCGATTTCCCATTAACTGTCGCCTTTACGCACACTCATATTTTGGGACAAACTATACCTAGTAGAATACGGTATGCGCAGCAGCTAGAATTTACATTTGAGGTCACCGACATATCCTCCAACGCAAGTTTAAAATTTGGTACAGACGAAGCAATTTCAGAAGTGAGTGGTGCGACAGTGGGGATTATGGTGGTTTAGTTAACGATGGACAGATATGTTATCTATTGATCTGACCCCGAGTTAGTGTGCGGTTTCGTGGTGTAGTTGGTTCAATACCAGTCTGACGCATTGGTAGTCCCCGGTTCGAGCACAGTCAAAGTCATTATCTTTTTCTCACTTCTCACAAAATACCTTTTCGCCTTCTTCATTCACAAAGCGATCTATTCCATTAGCTCCAATCGGCTGCTTGTCGATTGATACGCCTAGAGAGCCCTTTAAGCAGACGAAATAACAGCAAGAGGAGTAAGAGTAGTCATTAATACAGTTAATAGCATAATTTATTTACACGAGTGAGAGCCTGTGACTTTTTATCCTCTATGATGATGATGATGATGATGATAATTGATGCGGAGAAATGGGGTAGAAAGAGAAAAAAATGAATGCAATCTATTCAGAACACGCCATTTTCCCAAGCTTGGACCTCCCACCACTGACCCTCCGACGAGTTGGCATAGTAGTTAGTCCACCTTTGGACCGGCGGAGCTGCCTGCCTGAGCGCTTGTCGTGAGGTTATTGGGCTGCCGGATGTTGGTTTTGGCAAACTTTTTAGTATGCTTGAGTTTTTTCTGGATAGCCATGAGAGGTACAGAAGATTTAGTGACCAGGTAATTCGAGAAGGATCCTAGAAGGATACTAGGTGATGAGTTAGTTTATAATGTAATACTAACAGAGTGTGATTCAGGGTACCCATCACTCTAGTCCACTACTATGATACCATGGGAACAAAGGACCACAAGTGTAGGTTCGATAAAGTTGATCTTAATCATATTAGTTAGACAATCTGATGTCGAGAAATAAATTACAAACTCAGGATTTCAGTGAGAAGATGCTTCGGACTCCCGCAGTGAATCACCCCTACAGCGACCCGACCTGTAGCCTTGTCTCCCGCGAAAGTTTTCTCACCAGTCTAGCGATCGCCTATACCGCAACACACCACTCCTGCTGAGCCTCCGTGTGCTCCCTACTCCTCTCCGAAATATCCCCAATGTTGGATGACGGAGACGCTGTTGCTATTTTCATGGCCGCAAGGCTGGTCCCCATGGCGGTAGCCTAGCTGCTCAATTCTCTCGCTATCCTTTTATTCGGACAATGTTGCTGCTATCTTCTACCGTATCCTGATCGATGGCATATATGGCCACCAGAGTATCGCGGTTTCTGAGAACCGTCCCGATTGTCCACTCCCGGGCTTGTTGGGCCTCCCCACTCAAATCCGTAGCAACAAGATACTTTCGCACCCGCTCATTACCTTCCTCTGCGCCCTTGACTATCGACTCATATTCCCCATGCCAAATTGTCCTAATGGCACGTCGAGTCTCCGGTGTAGAAGTGATAGGAGATAAGATCATGTCTATTTGTTGAGCACAATGCAGATCGCGGGCGTCCGCTTCTATATCCGAGGGCGGTGGCGTAGAGTTATGCGATAGTAGGTCGAAATTTGTGGAAGGATGCACACCTGATCGTCTATTTTTTGTAGGAGATGTTGCTCCAGGGATGCTATCCGATGGGGTAATGATCGATATTGTGCCTAGGAGGGAGCGAACACTAAACCTAGTACCACAGCCTTCCCGATCAGAAAAGTCAGAGCCACCCCTAGAACATAGGCAGGTGTACATAGGTTCTTCCTCCACAGGATCCAGTAAACTCATGCTTGTCCTCCACATACTAATAGCCCTCTTCCTGGCGTCTATTCCACCACCTTTTTTTTTTCTCTTACTTCCGCCCCCATCGGAATCGCCCACAATCCTAATCATTATTTGATCATACCTGGACCTTTCTCTACTGTCTCCTCTGTTCTCGCGGTGCTACTTTTACTGCTGGGGCCGGAACCATTTCTGTCCGCAGCGGCCCTCCATCTCCTCTCCTCTTCCTCACTCACTCTTCCTCACTCACAGGAGAATTTGATCCAGAGCTCTCCTCGGCACTACTAGTCTCGCCTTCATCGGAGGAATCAATCGTTGCACGTTCATCGACATCACCCTAGTCCCTCTGCAATATCACACACTCTCCTCTTGTCAATGACTCCCGAGTGATAGTGCGGACATGCTCCCCTCAAAAGTGGTAATTGGCCTGCGCTCCGGCAACATTCGCAAAACTCCCCCTGATCTCGCGAGTGCATCATCTGAGAGCTTGGTATAGGCATGTTCTAAATCAAGTGGGACACCGGCATCGTTGGTTATTTGGTTAGAGATCTGGTTGAGGGGGAGGAGAGGCCAGTCGTCGAGAAGAGGATTGTGGGGATGCGTATCTCTGCATGTGATGTAATGCGGCGTTTGAGATTGGTGAAAGTGACAGCCTCCCCGGAGGCCCAAGGCTGCCATGATGCGAAGAGGGCTGGGCAGGGTCATTCTAAGAAGCTTGAGTGGCTGGCGGGAAACAGAAGGGAGAACAGCAAAATTGTAGGCATCATTGGGGGTAGGTTAAAGGTGTACCTGCGGTAGTCACACCGGACAAGTTATCCTATGCCAAGCAGACTAATTTCCTCGCAAGGTGTGCACTAGTAGTTGCTCCCGACCTAGCCCAACCGCGATTTTTTGGGCACGTTGTGATGGTGCAATACTGCATTACTATTTGTGCTTCACTGAGTTCACTCTTCTAGTGGACAGTTGATGGTAAAGCCCGGCGACCTGGTTCCTTGATCCGACCTGGTCGAGGTGGGGAAAAACCATGAAATTGGGCCTAGAATTGAGCGCCTTAAATGCCAAGTTCCACCTTACTTTGATGCCTTCATGGGCATATGATTTGCGGCTGTGCCCTTGTAATATAATTTGACAAGAATGCTTCCAAGAGACTTAAAAAATTGGGCGCTGTATGACCTCTCAAAAGGGCCGAGTCTAAGAAGCCCAACATTTGTCAGAGAGTTCATAAGCCCTGAAGCCCGACCGCTGGCAACACTATTGATACCTGCCACCTAAGTAAGGTGGCGCAAACCCTCTATTGTCCTCATGGTACGGGTGAAGTGTCCTCACGGTATAGGTGAGCTATCGTCATATGTTAGGATTGTAGTAAGGTTGACTGAGTTAGCAGTCACCTTAGCGGTCACATTAGCGGTCAGGTATGTGGGCTTGGAATCAAGTCACTCTTCCACCGTCTCAGGTTCCAACATTCAAAGCCAGCTCGCGGTTGAGGTTTTTCGTGAGCTTATATAAGCAAGGGTTACCCGCTCGGCATTTGGGCTGACTGCGTGTACGCAACCATTGCTTCCTTCATCCCTTCCCATCCTACTCTAAGTTAGAGCGATGACATCCACAGACGAAAATAGGCTCCTGATCAGGCCTGTCAATCGCTCGGCATGGCGCAATACCCACATCTACGCCTCCGACGATCGTGACACCGCTCTTGGAGGTCTCTGGGTCGCAGAAGGTATTACCAACACTTACCTCTATTCTATGGTAGAGATTTTCTGCATCTTTACCGATACTTTCGGCCTACAAGACGATAGCGGGCGATTAGTTGGGAGGGATGAGCAGCCACTTCGGCCAGGCAATTACTACATTATCACTAATGGTAGGTCCCCTCCATGCTTCGGTCATCGACTATTCCTCACTCGTGGTAGGTTCTATCACTATCACTGATGAAGCCCCTCTACTTCGTACGATTTCATTGCACACCGGAACCCGTGTTGAATCCTTTATTCACTCTGTACGTGACCGGGATCGGCGATGCATTATAACTGGCAGGTCGGCAGTGATGGCTGGTGTTTCTTTTTGGGAAAACTTCGAAGCCGTTCATGTGTTTCCTTTAGCATATGAGGAGAACTGGAACAATGACAACTTCAGTCAGTGGATCACCGTTCCGCCGGACTCCGAATCGCATGGAACCATCAACTCCGTGCAGAACGGGATGTTACTCACCCTAGATATGCATGCCATGTTTGAATCTTATCAGATATCGATCAATCCAGATGTGTGCCTAGCCCGACTTTGAAGTGTTTGTAGTGTTCGTAGCTAATACCTGTTTAGGATGATCACAGGGTCGTTTGCTTCACACCTTATGCCAGCAGCTACGGAATTACCAGTGCACACCTCGATCAACGCTTCCTCAATAATCCACTTCGGCCAGTCGATCAGCTTTTACGTTGGCACTTTCGTCAGGCAGTCCTTGTCAATATGAAGGGGACTGGAGAGCCTTGTTTTGAGATGGATCTCCCGCCTGGCTCTGACATTATAGGTCAGATCATGAGTGGTCCAAAAGCTAAGGAGAGAATGGAGTTTGAGCTTTTTAGTCGTTTTAATGCACAGGGATTTACGCGTAAGGCAAAGTTAGGCAGCCAAGTGATGTGTATCTAGCGCGCTATAGAATTTCATATAACAGTGTGGAGCACCGATTTCCGCCGATATTCCCCCGAAATCTGCTTACCTGAGATCTGGTGTTAAACAATATTTGGAATGGAAACCATTCGAAACAAGTAACGACTACTGTCTAGTTAGAAATAGGTAGATCGTAAGATAGACATTATACCCAGTCTTTGTGGCTGAGCGTAGCAGTGTTGCGAACAGTCCGGGGGCCCCACAGGGACGGCGGAGATAATGCCATTGTTCTCAGTCGCTCCGTCCGTCTTGGCTAAGAACATTAGTATTTCCACCACTCCCTCATGCCCATTCTCAGCAGCCCACACGAGAGGTGATTACCACGGCCTTCTTTGTTTTCACAACCTTTCACCACTATTAAATCTACAATCTCAACAATTCCGAAGAGGGATGCACAGCGCAATCCAGTGAACAGGGAACGGTTATCAAAGTCGATACCGTAACAGTACGAGGCTGGTGCCAAAAATGATGAGCAGTTGCAACAAAAACAACACTTAGAATTCGGATACAGAATACTCTGCAGGCAATATCTCAACTACAAAGAAAACTAATAGGATGAAAGTAAACTAAATATTACAATGAAAATTGACTTTAAAGAAAATATAATCAAAATTGTGTTTGCATGCCTCTTCATTGTTTGACCTGTCTGAGCCGATCGGACATACTCTCAATATACCCGTTCCAATCTTCCGGTTCCAGATTCTCCCACTCCTCTTCTACAGCCTCGCGCATTTCCTGAATGTTTCCCGGAAAGCTATCGCGTGCCTTGATGCGTTACTTCATCAAGCGCTAGACG